CTACAACGTTTAACAGCACTGTAGCTTTGCAGGAGGTTTCTTGAAGCGTCTCGGAGACACAGTTCTTCTGGATTGAGTCTGTCAGTTTGTTCTGTTTCTTCATGTGACTCCAGACATTCTCCGTAATGGAGATAATGAAAATATCTCAAGACTGTTACGAAAATGAATGTTAAAACTAAAAATTTGACATTTGTTAGTTTATAGTTTGTGTGTGTATAGAAACAGTGAGACACATGCACTGGGGTAAACAGCGTGACAACTAGCCCCGGTCTCCTCCGTTGTGAGCAGGGTTGGAAAGTGCTTGTGTGGTTGTTGATGTGTTCCTGTGGTTTCCGGTCAGCTGCCGCGGTTCTTCCAGCTGTGCTCTGATAACGTGTGGGGCGTGAGGAAGGCCTGCGCCGAGTTCTTCATGACCGTCTCCTCGGCCTCGTCTCCAGAAGTGCGGCGCACCAAACTCTCGTCTCTGTTCATCAGTCTGATCAGCGACCCGTCGCGCTGGGTACGTCATCAAACACACCTTCTTGCTTTATTTCCCACACATTACTCTGCATTACTTTTTTCCATTTAACATTTCTGGATGACGCGTGACCCTGGAGCACAAAACCAGTCATAAGGGTCAATTTTGTGAAATTGAGATGCATCATCTGAAAGCTGAATAAATAATCTTTCCATTGATGTATGGTTTGTTAGGTTAGGACAATATTTGGTCGAGATACAACTATTTGAAAATCTGGAATCTGAGGGTGCAAAAAAATCTAAATATTGAGAAAATCATCTTTAAAGTTGTCCAAATGAAGTTCTTAGCAATGCATATTACTAATCAAAAATTAAGTTCTGATATATTTACGGTAGGAAATTTACAAAATATCTTCATGGAACATGATCTTTACTTAATATCCTAATGATTTTTGGCATAAAAGAAAAATGGATAATTTTGACCCATACAATGTATTGTTGGCTATTGCTACAAATATACCCCAGCGACTTAACACTGCTTTTGAGCTGCAGGGACACAATTAAATACTCAAATGTTAGTAATCAGAAAGTATATCAAATTAATTTAAATCATGAAATGTATAAAGTTTAACAAAAATCTAAACTTGATTTTGATCAAATGTTGGGTTTTTGATCTAATCTTAGATTAAATTTTTTTTTATTTTAAATCTGTTTTGCTTATTTTTCCTATTTTATTTTTGCCAACTACCATGTTTTCTGTTTGCATTTTAGTGGTTAAATTAATCTCGTCTAATTAGTAGAAACCCTGAAACTTATACAACTCAACAACTATGTAACAAAAGTTTAACAAATTTAAATTTTTAGGGCCCTTTTGAAATCTTTTTCCCAAATTCCATTTTATAATTTGTCTTAAGTTTTATGTTTTGATTTTTGATGTTCCACTTTAATGATGTAATTGAATTTTAAAAATCAATAGAATGTTTAATCAGTTGGGTGTTTGGGTTTTTATTAATTTAATATTTTAATAACGATTTATTACAATTTTAGGGCCCTGTAAAATATGAAATTGAATTTTATTTTTTCAGAAATTGTCCATTTTAGTTTTTCTGTATTTTGATTTTATACAAATGTCTTATCAAATGGTGGTAATCAACAGTTTAATGAATCCTTTAAAATGTGATCAAAAATAAAATTTAAATTTCCAATTTTTATTATATTATTACTTTGAGAAGTACTTCCTACTGTTAAACCAAACCTTTATTTTGTAGGAATGTAGCACAGATTTTGTGTGTATCTGATGGTAGTTTTCTCAAATGTACAGTATTTATTAGCTTCTGAGCTGATGCTGTGATTCGCTCTCCGCTGGATTGGTGTAGAGCGGATGTTACTGAGGTGTGCTGTGCTCACAGGTGCGTCAGGCTGCGTTTCAGTCGCTCGGTCCGTTCATCTCCACCTTCGCCAGCCCCAGCAGTAACACAGGTCAGTGCTTCAGAGCCGAGGCCGAGGCGAGCGGATCACAGACACACAGGTGAGACGGCGACGAGCTCGGAGCAACGAACATTATTCCCTTTACACAGAGCACACAGTTTGCTTAGGGCACCATCACAGTCGTTATGGTAACACTTTAGAATAGGGACCAATTCTCACTATTAATTAGTTGCTCGTTAGCATGACTATTGTTAACATATTAGCTGTTTATAAGGGTCAATTTTGTGAAATTGAGATGTATGCATCATCTGAAAGCTAAATAAATCATCTTTCCATTGATGTACGGTTTATTAGGATAGGACAATATTTGAAAATCTGGAATCTGAGGGTGCAAAAAAATCTAAATATTGAGAAAATCATCTTTTCAAAAGAAAGAAACGATACAAAAGAAGAATACAAACTACAAAAGAAACAATTTATGTACGTTACATATTATTACAAATGCCTGTAAAGGGCGCCAAAGGCCTGGTAACTGCTGCTGCTGCACTTACAGAACGATCAAATCCTTGTTTAATACTCACCAAACATTTAATTCAAATATCCACTGTAATTTTTGGCCACCTTTTTGCGATAGAAATACTACAGCCAGCTATATAATTTCTTCAACGAAACATGTGGACGTCACAACCCTCACCAAAATCAACCATGGTTTTATCGTAGTAAAACTGCTTAGTTATCTTTTGTGTGATTTCTGAATGCTTGAGACTATAAAATCAATCCGACAACTGTATTCATAAAATCATAGCCATAGATGCAAACTCCTCAGCTTTCAGTGACAACTCACTTTTTTGAGATCAAAATAGGTCACCAGTGAGACTGTAGTTTTGATATTTGGTGACTGATTTTTGAAATATTTCACAGAGCAACTGTAATTTATTAATATGCAAGAAGAGTACTCATCAGAGTCAGAGAGTGCGTTCTGACCTTTTCTTTGAAATAGCGATGCACATATGAAATCATGAAAAACCTCCATTCATTTTCATGGAGAGTGTTCAAAAGATAACATCCAGTCTATTTTTTGAGAAAAAGGGTCTAAAAGGGTTTTGAATATATAGAAAAAAAACTATAGATTCTCAATTTTTGATGCATCGTGAACTATAACGCAAGTCCAGAGTTCTCGTCGCATGTCTTTTATGTGATTTTATGTGTTGAATTGAAATCAAATACTGCGCTTAATACTTCTGAATGTGTTGAAAAACACATTTCAGATCACTCAAACCATTTATGGAAATGAAGGCGCCCTTAAATGGTTTCTAATGGGGTTTGATGGCCATCTAGTGGAAAAGCTTGGTACTGCGCCCAAACAAAATCTCACTGAAAGCTCATTTTTTGAGATATCAACCTCAAATTTTGAACACAACTTGTTCAGAATTTTGGTTTTCATTTTCTAGCAGTTTTAGAGTAAAACATGTTTTGAAAAATAGATATTTTATATAAAATATAAATATTTAAATTATTACATTTTATATTTTCATAAACTTAAACTTCCATAACTTTTTGGTTATATCATCTTTATAACTTTTTTCACTTCTACAATAATCTGCCAAGTGTCTTCTTTAAATTCCCCTATAGTAGGTGCTTTTTTACTTCCATAATATTTGAGTGAGGGCACAACAACACATTTGTCCAGCAGCGGTCCTGCTAACGAACATGTCTCGCTCGTCTGTTTGACTCTGCAGCACAAACACAGACGCCGTCTGTCCGCCACGGGACTCCTGTGAGGAAGAGGAGGGCGGAGGAGAGCAGACGGCCGAGAAGTGCCTTCCTGAGGAGACGCAGCCTTCATCCCATCCTCCAGCGCAGGAGATCCCGGAGCAGGAGCTCTTCAACTCCTTCCACTACTGGAGGACCCCCATCCCTCAGATCCAGCTGGAGCTGCTGCAGGAGGAGGACAGACGGCCCTCGGCCCCGGCGCTGGGCAGAACACAGCTGCAGGAGCTCA